AAACATTTGATTTCATCTTCTGACGTCTGACTTTTCAGCCACAATTATTTGATCTTGTAATATTTTATGTAGACACAAAATGAGTCATAGGCACCGCTTTACGGAACGAAGACGCGTTCACAGAAAACACCTTTCCAAGCACAAGGAGAGCAGCAACAACAAAGGCTGCAACCACAGTTTGCATTACTTACCTCCTCATTTACCTGCTTCAGTTGTAATTCCTTGTAGTCAATCACAAGAATTCCATGCTTTGTAGAGAGCATAACTTGGGCAACGCAGAAGTTGTGGATGAAGTTACCTGCTGGAGGTTTGCAGTCAGTTACGGTGCCCCTTTAAATCACTCTGACTTTGGTTTCTTGCACTTGCACAGCTTGGAGCATTCCTGGCTTTCTGGCCTATCATGATATCATCAGGAAACATCTGGAATATCCCACTGGACATCCCCTGTGACATTTAATATAGTAGAAGAAAGCTACTGAGCCTGAGGCCTAAACACAAACCAAAACACACCAAAAAACCCTCAAATCCCAACAACCCCTTTTTTGTTTACAGCCCGTGCACAGTGACAGCACTGGCGGTTTGGGCAGATGGATGATTTTACATCCAGCAGGAGGGATGTGGGGCAGTGGAGAAGCACCAGGCGCTGCTCCCCCACAGCGCTGAGGATGTGATGGGAGATCAGAGCGGCTCAGCGCTGCGCTCACACCGGGCCAGCAGTGCCAGTGGGAGGGAAAGCTGCAGCATTTGTAGGAGGTGCTGTATCAGCAAATGCTGCCTTTGCTCTGAGGGCTCGCAGCGGAGCTGAGAGCAGCTTTATGTGGGAGTTTCCATTGGAAGCCATCCTTTGCCAGTGGGCGCTTGGTGCCACAGCGCTGCTGGGTTGGCCGTGGATAGCACAGATGGGGCAGAAACGTGGAGAAGTCTTGGGTTGGTATGTGGGTCAGCTTCCAAAAGCTGAGTGGGACCAGACACAGAGCCGTGGCCCTCATTTGTTGCTTTTTGAAAGGGAATAGGTGGAATTACACAACGAAAGAACTCAGGTAGGAAGTGCTCGTGCCACAGTGCAGCAAAACCTGGCGTCAAAATGGCAACAAACTGAAACTATTGCTGGAGAGCAATTTTGAGATAAACCTGCCTCGGCAAGCTGCTGCTAGCCATGGCAGTGTGTGCAGCGCAGAGTAAATAAAACACATGGGAGAATAATGAGTCAAAGTGAATAATGCAGGATAGCATGACAGTGAGGTGTGTTTTTCCACTGAGCAGGAGGAGTTCATCCCTGCTGAGCTCAGAGCCTCCCGGCGCGGCTGGCTGGGATGCTCAGCACTGCAGCACCACCAGTGCTTTGGGGAGGGCACAGTTGGCTTTTCTGACTGTTCAGCTCAGACGAAGGTGGCTGCGACACAGCGGGGAGGTGAGGGCAGAGCAGGAGGGAAAGAGAAAGGATCGGCACAGAGAGGCGGCTGTTGGATGCGAGGTTTGTGTGACACCAGAAAGAAAGATTGCCAAAGGCTCAGAGCTCCAAAAAGTAACTTCTCATTTATTATATTAAACAATAACATTTCTCTTATTATATTAAACAATAAACACGAGTGGGTTAAAATTAAAATACCTTTCTTTCAATGCGTTACGACCATCAAAAGATAAATATAACTACAATAATGTACATTTTTTGAGATATTAGTCAAATTTAGGTCAACATTGCAGTTTCCACTTCGTTTCCACCCTTTTTAGGTCAGGCTAAAGAAAATCTTACTGAAAGGGACACCAGAAAGAGCACAGTATGCTAACAGCTGACGGAACCCAATTCCCCAGGAGTTTACTTTGGAAGTTAAAGGGGAAAGCAGAAGTTGCAAAAAGAAAAATTCCATTCTGTAACAAATTTGCCTTTATTTGCTTTATTTATAAAACTTTCAAGTAAAAAGAGCAGTAGATCAACTGATAAAACAAGTGTGTCAACAAATAACAGTTAACATACTCTAAAAATAAATCTTCTGTAATTCCACCATACTGCAAGCAAAACTCCTTCCTAAGAAAAGATGTTTGTTTCGAAGTCTATGGTGAGATGCAATGGTTGAGACACAAAAGCTTCACTGCTCCTCTGGTGTAGGAAGAGGTTGGAACGTTATTAGCACAGATAAATCACTATAACAGAGCCGATACTCAACATCTGAATTAAAGAGAAGTGGAATTCCTGAGAGGGAGGAATCAAACGCAGAAGGCGGCAGAAATCAAACTCTTACAGCATTGGGAAAGCAACGATTCTACCTGGACCAAAATTCCTTGGGCCGTGGTTCTACAGAATAAATACTCTTCTCAATGGAGAAACACTAAAGAAGAAATAGTAACCCCAAAAGGATTATAAGAAGAATCCAAGAAAAGTGCATTATCTCTCAGCATAAGATGACAAAATAATTCCTACACAACTTCTAACAACAGATTTCAAAGACGAACAAAGAGGTGACAGTCAGCCCCAGCTCGGGACGTCCCAGCTCCAGGAGCTCTGAATACAGTGGGGACAAACGGTCTCACAGGGCAGAGATCTCACAAGGAAAAGTTGGCCAACACAACACCACCCCATACAGCAGTATTACAGGAGTACAGCTTCAATGAGCATCTGCTTCTACTGCAGAATGCCTGGCGTGCTTTGCAAGAGCGCGTGACCACGTCCTGGGGAAACCAGTGCAGGCAGATGTGAACACACTGCTCTGTAAGGGAACACAGTAACTCAGCACCTGTCCTACACGCAGTGCTTGCATGCAGAGCTCCATGTGAGGAATTGTCTTTCCCTGCAGCTGTTGCTCCTCAGTGCTGTGTGCAATGTCTGGTTTCCCACGAGTCACTGCAGCAGGGACAACACTCCACACAAGACACACGTGCCATATAAATGCTCACTGACCTCTTTGTTTGGCTCAGTGTACCACAGTCTAATCATGTGTCCTAAAAGAAAGTAGCATCACCTCCATCCCTTCCCCAAAGCCAACGCATTGGTGTTCCTCCTGAAGGAGCAGCTCAGGTGGAAACGGAGGAAACTGAAGTCCAGGCGAGCACGAAGTGCAGCCTGTGTAACTGGAACGAGGCGAGGAGACCTTGTTCACCTCAGCACTTCCATGTGTGATCTGTGTGTGGGGGTTGAAACTGCTCCTGAAAGAACTTGTTGGTTGTTTTTTAAATGGGGGGGAGGGAGAAAAGGCAAAAAAAGAACGTACAAGCAAATGTAGAGAAAAATCACGGCCTCAGCCTGAGAAATAGACAACACGTGGCCCACGCACGCAAGAGGATCAGAAATTAAGCCTACGCTGCAAAGCAACTGAAAAGTGGGGCTGAAACACTGCGAAGGACGCGAGCTCACAGCCCGCAGACGATGCCTGCTTTCTGCCAGGTCTCTCACATTTGGCACCATGAGTAAACACAGCTTCTCATGCCAACGACAGCAAGCTCAAAACAAATTTTCTCATAGCTGTCAGTCCTCCTTTTTTTCTTTTTCTTTCGCCAGAACTTTGAAATTCTAAGGGCCGTAATCTCATCTGTGTTTCTGTACAGATTTCATTTGTGTCCATCTCTCTATAGAGAATACATACACACAAATGTTAATATATAGAATATATATGCATATTCTACATATCCACTGTATATACACATTTTATGTACAGCACAAGTAACTATATACTAGGCATAGTATGCGGGCATGTATAGTATATACACACACTATTATTACATTAGACATTATATATATACACACTAATAATATGGATCTCAAAATGTACACTGTATATGCATTGTGTATACTCACATTTTATTTATCTTGCATTGTTGCATCTGCCCAAATAGCAAAAGGCCTATTTGTGCTTCAAATTTCACCGTTCTGGAGGAAGAATGAGATCAATGTCTTGCCATAAAAGCTTTTGGCTTAGCAAATCAAGTGCAGTTATGATACAAAATGCTCAGTTACAGGCGAAAGGGAAGAACGTGGGAAATCATCTTTTCTACGTGGAAAACTGTATTAAATACACAACAGGGAGAAATCACAGCTATGTTTTCCTCTACTTCAGTGTCTCAAATTTTGTGTGAAAAGCGTTTCAGTAAAGTGAAGGCAACAAGATCTTACAGTGCAGGGGGGACACATTCTGTCCTTGCTAATTTGCTAGATCTTCTGTTGCTTATTGAAGCAAATATGAAGAATGAGTCCATAAGGAAACAGGAAAATGAGCAATTAGTTCTAATGCTGTGTGGAATGCTAGATTAATTCACATTTCTGCCTTCCTGCTCAGCAACTTGAAAACACCGATCCCTGCCTGAGAAGCATTATAAATGCCAATATTTCTGAGCACTGACAAAGCAGCAGAGTCTCGTTATGGTACATAACACAGACAATGAATCAAGCTGTTCAGCTCATCCACCCTGTCCCACTGGAGTGACATCATCCGAGGAGTATCCAAAAGTGGTTTTCCTTTCTGTAATGGCACTGCATACAAACAGGGTTTTATTACAGCAGAAGAGACACTACAAAGACTCATGCCCAAAAGAAAATGAAAAGGAGACTCTCACTCATGAATACAATTTGTTTAACTTCACTGAGATTCCTACACTGCAGTCATTCAATTAAGAAAATTATTCTTTCACAGCAAGTTTGATCTCATGTTAGCTACAGACAGACCAAGTTCGCTTTCAGAGACTTGAAGTCCTGTAAACCATCAGAAAAGAGGATGCCTTGATGTTTTAATACGTTTGATCATTTAATCTGATATACTACAAAGAAAAATGAGAAGGGATCTCAAATCAGACTCTGTAAGATTAGAAATCCCACTGCGCTCACATGGGTTCACTCAAAGAAGTACTGAAGTCGTCCTGTGGCTGTTTTGGTACTGCAGAGCATCGTCTCCCTTCCTGAGGCAAATTAAAGGTTCAGTTTGCAGCACAGGAGACAAAGCACTGCGAGATGGGCTTTCGGTCTGATGCACTGCTGCAGGTGTAAGGGAATGGATCTGCACGTTGTGGTGCACTCAGCCCTTCGCACCTCAGACAACCAACGCTCAGAACCACCAATAAGATTAATAATTAATAATCCAATCTGATTATCTCTGTGAAGGAAAGCATCAAGAATAAGGCAGTTACAACAGAACGGGGAAAGATGGCCTTCGTTCAGTAAGCAGGCACTGTCATTGTGTTAGGAAAAATGAAAGGAAGGAAGCGAGGGCAGAAAAATGTAACTGCACCAATGAGGGTGAAGGAACAGCACATCTTCCAGAGAACGTTACAAGAGAAAGGCTGCATCAGGAAGAACAAAGAGCATCGAGCGCCTGCCTTCTGCACTGTTAGACATGGAGGCCAAGGTGAAGATAACTGAAGCCTCAGAATTCCTGTGGTGACCAGAAAAGGCATTTTAGTAAGCACATAATTCACAGATTTATCGTAAGGACTTATTTAAATCAGACACACAAAATACATTGCTGCCCTTACCAGGAGGAAGCACTCAGTACCTCAGCCACACTTTAAAGCCAATCCAGACTACAGGACTTCCACAAGTTATGCATGAATGTGTTGCAAGTAACATCCGTTTGAGCCTGGCCTTATCACAGCTAAGCAGTATTTGATCTGTAACCCCATAAATAAGACAGGTGGAATTCAAGGAACAGAGGTAGAGGCTCTCACACACATCAGAGGGATGACAGATTTGCTCTGGCAAATGGAGCCAACCTACGATGAGCTGCAGGGCAGAACTCAGCTGGAGCTTGCTGAGCATTCAGCTGTTTGATTCTATATGAAAGAAGCACTCAAACCTTTACCACAGTCCGTAATCACATCTGCATATGAGATAAAGCAAGATTTTACCTGGTCACTCAATTGCCAACCCATCACTTCTCCAACTTACTACAACAATTAAGTCCATCTTTTACAATGTCACCTACAATTAAAATCCAATGCAAACAAGTGTTTAAATAAGAAAACCTCCTAAATCACAGAGTTCTTAAATTTGGAGCACTTGATACTATCTATATTGGTATCCATCATATATAAATTGCCAGATTCTTTCAGAAAGGCCATATATCTGGGATAAAAAGGGACCACCTAATAATGAATTTGTGCTGAAGACTTTGACATAGATAACGCACTCATCAGCCTACCAGGAATAATTAAATAAACTCAGCAAGTGAAAGCTAATTCTATAAATATCTTCTTATCACCTTTTCTTTGAAATTTGTACTGCAGCCTCCAAAACCAATCAGGTAAAAGCCAGATCCACAAGGTGCAGTTTACTATATGCAACGTTGTCTTCAAGACAAAGAAACTTTGTTTTCAGTATCTTAAGATCCTGTTAAGTTCCTTACAAGCAGTAATTTTACCTAGAACATATAATACAGTATTTCCTGCATTTCACGCCCTGGAAAAGCCGCGCAGAGCCCAGCTGCATCGAACCAGGCAGTCCTGTATGGAGTTGAAGTGACTAGAATTATTTTCACAACAGAACAGGAGTTGAGGATCTTTTGAAGCAGCGTTTAAAGGTTCCCCTCGGCCAGGGAGGAGCGCAGCAGCCCTACGAGCTCGGCATGTCGGCCTTACTGAGCGCAATGGCCAGCTCCAGGTCTTCTTGCTCCTGTCTCCACAGCCGAGCCAGTCTTTCTTGCTCTGCTTTTTCACTCTCACGCTTTGCCCAAGCCAGCTGCTGCTCTTCATTTCCAAACTAAAAAACGAAAATGGAAAACGAATTAATAAATTCAGCAGAAAAGCCGGAGGAAATTATCTAAGAAATACTATAATCAAACTCATTAAGTATGTGAATCAAGTTCCGAGCTGTCTTAGGCAATCCTCCTGGACCAGGACAAAAATCCCCTCACCGCTCTCCTCTCTTTATCCTTTCTTTCTTCTCCTCAACTTCTTCCTCCTCTCCCCACAGATCAGACCCAGCCGTGCATCCTGCATCCCAAACCCCCCAGGTGGCACTTTGGGAGCATCGCAACCCTCAGCCCCTCTTAAGAGAATTCCATTTGTTAGCTTTTAGATGGTCAAACCAAGAGCTATTTATTCTTGTGCAATTCCATTGCTTAATTGTAGCATTTCCTGCTGAGGGTGAGGGGCTTTAATCATGACTGTGGAGACTACTGATTCGGGAGAAGTTTCATCACTTAATCAGAAGTTACAAAAAGTGCTTCTGTAACTGTTCCTAAAACGCATGCAGAGTTCTTCCAGTAAGAAACAATGAAAGAGAACCCACTTCACTTCAGCAGAAAACACTGAGGAAATAGAACACATTTGAACATTCAGCTTCCAATGCCTGAGCTTCCCCAAACGCTTTCAAATACACCACAACAAAACCGCTCCAAGATGTGACGGCGTTTGCTGCTGAACATGCAGAAGTTTGGTTTGCTTCCATTTTCTGCATGACGTATTATACAAATACTGGCAATAATTCTGTAACTGAAATAATAATTTACATCTAAGCTAATTGACAGTATCATTTCCTTTTGTTGAATTTGAGCATTTGCTGAAGAGGGTGAAGCGAGCAGAAGTGTTGGCAGAGCTGCACGTGAATATCAGCATTACATCCTGCTTCCAAAGCTTGCTTTTTAATGCCTTTTTCTGAACGTTCAGGAAAACTTTCTGTTTTTTAGGAGCAGGAGGGGAGAGAAGGCCATGGAACGTGGTGGTTTAATTTCAGCTGAAAATATACTGCAAGAATTGCCCAGGGGTCCACAGCACCATAACTGAACACAGCGATGCACCACTGCTCCTTCCTGACCAACCTGCAGCACTGCACTGATTACAGCACAGCCTGAAGGAGCAGACCCACATCTCACTGCACACACCTCCAGGGCACCACTTTTCCATTCTGCGCTGTATCTACAATACATAGTTTTGTATTTATAAGTCCAATTCTCATTTACTCTACTTAAATTATGCTTTCTCTGGATGCTTCTGTATGCTCAGTTCCTCACTTTATGACTAAAATCAAGATGATTTGATGAGAAAAAAAAAAAAAAAAAAAAGAGGACTAATTAAGCACTTCTCTTCAAACGATGCTTCAGCTTTCAGTGCCATGGGAGTGCATGTGAGGAGCTTTCCATTCAATGCTACTGACATCCTATGAACGTCCCACACACCTGCAATGATATTTCACTTTGAAAGATATCCACCCTACTGTCAGCTCTCATTTAAGTACGTTCAGGGAAAGGTAAGATTCTGGTGCTCATTAAGATTTTAAGTAGACGTTCCTCAACATACAGTGCAGAGAGACTCCAATGGAAGCAGGACTTCTCCATATATCCCACAGACTCAAAAAGAATATCCTACAGCTGGAATGACTGAGAGTGACAGTTACTCTTTCCCAGAAATACAATAAACTTTGGTCAAACTCCCCTTGGGTGTCTTATTAATATGTACATTTTTCAATAATGGTGAGAACAGCTGTATCCCTGCAGCTTGCATCTTTGGATAGGTCTTCCAAGGATCTGACAGTACAATCTCTGACTTGTTTACAATGCACAGCTTCTATTTCCACGGGTAAAAGGGGCTGAGTAAAAGCTGGCCATGCCTTATCGCAGAGTTAATGCGAACTCAAATGCTCAGGGGCGTAATGCTGGCCATCAGATGGTGAGCTGGTTTACACAACTCCTCCCGGCCTCTGACCCGTGCACAGACGGCTCATAAAGAGCCCACAGAACTCAGTGACATGTCACTTTAGGTAACTTCCTTTTTGTTTTTGCATAAGTCCAGGTTTCAAGTCTAAAACCATGCAACACAGCTCTCCTTTCATAAAAACTATTGGGTTTTTTTTTTGCAGAAGTACAGTCAGACCCAATGCATGAATGAGGAAAACAGCAGACTTTGGCAAAACTAATAAAATACACACAAAAAGCTACAGCAGTTTGTCTGCTAAATTACCAGATCACATCATGAGAAAAGAAAAATAGTTTGCTTCTAAATGCTGTGGTTTTTTGCAAATTTAATTGCTTTCTGCAGGCTGATGGATTGGTTTTTCTTGTTGATCTGTAAATTGAAGCTGGAACATAGAAACACCTGAAATACAAGCTACCAAAATACTTCAGTTTGCTCCAAAGAGTCGTATTTAGTGTCAGTGGAAAAGCTAAGGATGCAATGAGAACATCCTTAAATGCATGCCATGCATGCCATGGCCAACTAATTATTTCTTTACAACAATAAAGAATCCCAAATCACAGCCAGGTTATTCCATCCCTCAAACCAACACGGCACTGTTCTCAGGTTCCACAGATTTGAACTGTGTCAGAACACTTTCTGTAAGGAAAATGGCAAAGTTTCCCAAGGAACGGTTGAAGACAAGCAGAATACTCTTCCTGACTGCAAGGTAACGAGCAGCAATTGCAGCACCACAATCATGTGCAAGGCAAACAAAAATAAGCACCAAAAAGATGAGGGAAGCTGTCCCATTCAGTTAACTCCTTTTATAACAGTAGAGAGCCGCTCACAAAATCACTCACTTTTTAGTTTTATTGGATGAGGTCCCACCTAACAGTAAGGGGCTGCTACTCCTGAGCTCACTTCTACCTTTCCTCATCTTTTAGTTAATCTCCTCTCCTGGAAACTTGATGGCACAGAGAATTAAGTGCTAGAGCACCTATTGGGAGGGGGATCACCCGCTGTGGTTAATTGTTCAGCACCTTCCATTAGTGTAAGCCACACTTTTAACATAAGAAATGCAGTCTGTAAGTAAGACAATAGCTGGGAAACAGTGATTCCATTTCATTCCTTGTCTCTCTTTCAAGGAGGAAGCTAGGTGGTGGTCAAGAAATTTCAGATAAAGCAAGTTTTGCGTCTTATTTTTATTAAAAATGTCACCATTTTGTATACAATCACAGAACTTAACTGTGCATGAAATTCAACAGGCTAAGACTAACTGTGGTAAAGCATACAGAGTATCTTCAACTTGGACATCTTCGGTATCACAGATAAATTAAAGCACTGAGGCCAGCTAAACGTATGCACAGGTGACCTCAACTGACAATATCACATAGGAAAGTGACACACATTTACTATTAGCTAATAATCAGGGGAAAACATTAAAAAACAAGCAACCTGAAAGGTTCAGCTTAAAGATCTCCACTCGCTGAGCACCAAACTGCGCCCATCGGGAACAGATCAAACTGGCAATTTCACTGCATGGCAACGTCAGAACAGAAACACATGAAAGAAGGAAGAAACCTGATGCTGCGAATGGAACAGATTTCTACCTACTTGTGGAAGCAGGAAGAACCACGCTACTACTATATTTACAGTGATTTCCAATTCAGTAACACAAGTGCCAGCACGGAAACCAAAAGCAGGCTCTCAGGAACCCGGACTTTTTACGACTGGGTTCTTGGCTTCACTTCCAAACCTTCAGATACTGCTTTTTGGATTGCAATATGGAAGCTTCTGCGTTGGTTCTACGTAACAACTCTGTCTTCTTTGTCTAACAAGGGCTTTTCTACAATACCATTCATAGGAACAAAATGCAACAGCTAAATTTGCAGTCTCTGTCTTGTATATATATCCTTACGATCACATTGCATTGTACACAGCAAACATTGTGACAGGATTGTCAGGGTTTTTTCATAACAAATACAAATACTCCAGGGAACCTTTCCCTTTAAGGATTCACTTCTCAGGATATGGTGAGATTGCTGTATAAATGTCTTCAGCAATTATTTCTGAATCTGTACATCATTGGCTCCCAAAAATCAATTTACAAAATAGCCTCCATGCAACAAAAACAATACACAGATTCTGCTACAAAGAGTTTGTGAGCAAAGGCACACTGTACTAAAATAATTTAAATGCAAGTAAATCCTTCAAAATTTAGTATGGAACTCAATTTTTTTTTTTTTATTGAAATAATGCCTTTTTATTACAGACGTATTAATACAAAAACAGCGAGGACAGCATGAAGGTACTAAGAGACAGAAGCCAGTGAACAGTAGGTTTGCAGTTAAAACAAGAACCCAATAGATTGCTGCAAGCAGAGCAGAAAGTGGTTTGCTCAGAGACAATGAACTTAACTTACAGAGCTGAAGTCTGCAAACCCCAAGGAAGAGTCTTTAGAAGTTTTACTTGAAGAGGAGGGAGCAAATGGATCTTTTCCACTAAATGGGTCCCCAAACCCCTTTTTACTCTGAAACGGGTCACTGCTGTCAGCCCCAAATGGCTGGAATGGATCATGGGGCTTGGGAAAATCTGAAGACCCAAGGTGGCTGACAGGAGTGCTTTTACCTGGAAAGTTCAGGAAAAAAAAAAGGAGAAAAAGAGAAGTTACTTACCATGGACAATGCAAATCCCTTAAATAGGAAACTGCTGAGATGCACTTTAGTATCATCCACTCCTCCTGGGTGCTTTAAAACTTAACCAAATCCAACAGTACTCATTTCTCAGTGCAATTCATCTCTGACAGCTGTTTTATTTTATCAGATTTACCTTTCTTACAAATGCAATATTAATTCCATCGAGATTTTAAACGATGAAACCCAACATGAAGACACCTGATCAGAAGAACTCAACAAGCACGACTTCAGTTCATTTTCCAAGAACAGAGACATTTCAGTTTGTTTGGGACTATATAAAAGGCAGAACACATGGACATTTATATCACTAAAATAATTAAGTCATTATTTTAAGTAGTAGCATTAAGTAGAACTAAACAGTAACTTGTCTGTGACTGTACAGAATGTAAGTGCTGGTTTTTTTCCTGGAACTGGCTCATACTTCTACAGCTGCTTACAACAGAAAAGAGTGCAATAAAGAAATCACCTTGTTGGGGGGTGCCTGCTGTGCAACCCACTTTTTGTAGGCGATTTCTTGTTCATACACCCCCATAATGGGAACTGCTGTGTGTGCTTCATCTTCAGGACAGATCACTAGACTAAATGTCACTGTGAATACTGCTGTGACTGTTATAATACAGAAAAAAAATCATTTCACGTCCTCACTGTCATTTTCTTCAGTTTCTGAGCGTTGAAAAATAAAGCACGGTTTTAATTTTGTGATTCTAAGGAAGAACTTGAACAGGGCAACCTCTGTAAAATCAAGATTATTTGTTGCAGAGAAACGAAGGGCAGTGCCCATGCTGAATAAGCCAACCTGAGCACTCGTGAGCCCTCAATGAGCCCTCTTTCATTCTCTCTCTGTTGCTTATAGCTTGTTTGATCCTGCACAGCTCAGCAAGCACGGCTGTGAGGCTAGCAGAAGTTTGTTTGGCTAGATGCTTAGTTAGATTTCAAATCTACTAACTTACTAGCCACAGATTGGTAGCAGTGACAAGAGAGTTCTCTTTCTTACAGCACATCGTTGCAGGCTGACCCCAGATGTGAATCCCCCAGTGCAGTGAGGATACATTTTAAAAAGATTTCTGTATTTTCACGTGGGTTAAATATTTCTATAAGGTAAAGCAAGAATGCCAACATCACATTAAAACGTCACCAACTGAACAGAAGGACTTGGGTAAAGCTGTGATACTGCAAAATACACTGCAGGTAGTAACTAACAGCAGTTAATGTACTGTACTCTGAAAAATACCGTTTAACATTTTTGAGGGATGGCAATACGAAAGCACAGGCAAACAGTTGTAACCCTGACTTGTTTGATTTTTCTGCTAATAGTTTCAGGGGAAAAAAGTTCAGAAAAAAGCAAAACAGGTCCTATTCTGAAACCACAGCAGTTTCAGCAGTTACCCAAGTGGTGCACCCAAACCACACCGAGGGCTCACTTCAGCAAAAAGAGATGATGAACAAAATGGTTTACCACAGCAAATGCTGTTCACTTGTAGTGAACTCCACCCATGCAAAGGGTTTATCTAATTTCATACCCAAGAGCAAAATTTAGGGCTGAGATCTACAGTTCAAGGCAAACAATTTCTCACCAGTAGAACGCAATTAGAGAACTTCACTCACTGAACAACAAGATATGGACAGTGCAGCCATTAAATACAGTTCTCACTGTGTCCCACGTGTCGAGGATGATCCCAGCGTTCTGCTTGGAAGAGGAGCTGGCTGCACACAGTGCATCACACACACTGCCAGGCCAACGGGGCAGAGCTGCCGCTGCGTTCTTTCAGCTCTGTGCACAGCGCTCCTTTCCAAGCAGTGCTCCAACATGACAGATCTGCCTCAGCAAGTCACAGCCACGCTCTGTAGGACTCACAGTGACAGTGCGCAAAGCCCAGTCCTGCAGTCACGCCAGACAATCAATGCCAGGTTCCTCACCCATCTGTAAGTGCTGGAGGTGTTACTCTGCAAAAGTTCAGAGGCTGAGAGGTGCCTCCCCCGCATCTCTCCTCGGCACTCCACCAGACCTATCTACATTCCCATCTTACTCAGCACACTTCTCAACACGCTGCTAAGCTCTTCACCGGTGCAGAACAAAACTTCCATGAACTGTGAGCTTTAAGAACTTACAGAAAAGTATTGCTGCCCTCAAATTGTTCTGAAAATTACATTAAAACCAATTTTCTGCAGAATACTCAAAGCCTTTGTCCTCAACGAGGGCTATTTCTTCACTGTGTTTCAAACTCAACTTTCTGTTCACACAAATTCACAATATATATTTTTAGTAACAGAAGTAAGATTTTTTCCTATGCAAAACCCCCCCAAAGTGTTTTTGCTTAGTATTTGCAAAACTCTCCCCCCTTCTAGGCAGCAACCCTGCATGTCTCAGCTTAGGAGAAATGATCTTACAACTTCTGGAAAGAGAGGTTTGAAGAAAAATCATTATATATTAACGATCTGTTCTGAAACAGCCTCTAAACAACCTGCTTCAACAATCGGTACTGAAATATCTTTATTGTGAGAGATCAGCACAAACAGAATCAAAGCGTGAATGGAATTTTTAGTTTGTGGCTGGGGCAGGTGCTCCACCCATGAGTCATTTGTCCTAAACAACACGGGATGCTTTTATTCTAACACAACTGTCAGATCTTCTAGAAGGCACGAAAACAAAAGTTTCCCTGTTGCTCACAAACTCTGAGGCTGAATTTTTCACAGCCAGCTGCAGATGAGGAAAAAATAAAGGTGTATGGGCAGCTTGTGGGTAACCTTGGGGACTGAGGAGCTCTACGGAAACAGGTGTGCAGGGCCACTCAGAAACAACATGCAATGCGTAACAGAACTCTGTGCTCCCCTTCAGACCAAAGGTGATCCATGACTCCAGTATGCCCATGCAATTTAAAATAAAAGTTAAAATGCGAGGGATTTTCTTCCTCCTGGTACAACTAAATGCTTAACTGATTTCTTTCATTCGTTTCTAACTCCTGATTAAATCTATTGTACCTGGCATGGCTTCTTTCTCCTTACACTTAATGCACTGCAAACATACAGAAAATTTCTATGCAAATTCATATACTGGGAATGTAGCACATGATGCAGGTCAAAAAGTGCCCACAAATATGTGATGTGCTTAGCACCATCTGCTCACAAGATAAGATTTTCTTTTAAGAAACGCAGCCAGTAAATGCACACAAAGCATCCAGGCTTTGTTTTGCAAGTTCTTTTAAACTGAGATACTGAACAAACAGTGCAGACTGCATTTCGTGTAGCTCAGCCACGGAGGACACAGTGCAGGCACACAAAGACACTGAGATGTGCAACCCAGAAAGCAGCAAAGATTTCAGCCCTTTTTCTTCCTCAGTGCTGTTAATAAGAAGTCCACATAGATGTGAACTGACAGTGCTTTCATGCTGCTTTAAGGATGAAAAATAAGTCTAAAACTGTAAAACCAGTCAAACCATAAAATGCCTGAAGATTAGAGAAGTGACACATAAAAAAACCTATATTTATCATTGACATAAAGGAGGAGGAAGCATCAAATACAAAGGAAGGCAGCAGTGGCACAGGGCTGCACAAACATTGCTGCTGCACTGCCTCTCCACCCTGTGCACTGAGCACGCACACACAGCTGCAGGGCATCCAGCATCATTCAGGGCTGCACACAGTCCCATGGTGTAAACCTATTTGAAAGCTTCCGGTTAGACAACTGCAGTCCAAGCAAGCCTGGAAGTTGTGCACATCTCCCATCTGGGTATCTGCTCACTACAGAATCTACTCACCAAAGCTCTGAAGTCAAACTGCCTTCAGGCTATTTTCTTCCAGTATTTTCTCTCAGTCATGATCACTCAGTGGGCAGATGAATCTTAAATTTACCTTCTGAGGCTTACGAGCAGTATACCTGCTTCCAATCCAAGCTCCTTCTGGACTAATAACCTTCTATGGCAACTACACTTGTGAGGAGAGGGTGAAGCATCCTCACCCCAAGCTAGGGACTTATTTCTGTAGATGATGGATTGCTGCATGCATCGCAGCTGTCAGTTTTCACAGTACTCAATAGTTCTTAATGGACCTTAATTAGACCTTAGAGGCTACCACCCCTTTTCAGCAGATTTAGATACCATTTCTTTTTACATGGGACTCCACATAAGTGGGGCATCTCTGAAGGATGAGAACCATACTCACTAATTTAAGCAAGGCTGGTTTGGCCCCTTTTCCATCCTCTCAACATTTTTTGCAATATTTTGACATTTTGAAAGCACTACCTGTCATAAAACCCATGTGAGAATGGAATCGAAGCCCTTAACTCAAAGGCAGAGGTGTTAACCACTAACCTCTGAAATGCCAACCTATAAATTCATTTTCCATAATACCTCAGAGCTACAGCGAATAAATGGATCAAAAAACAAAGCCCAAGTTCTTTGATGAAGGACTGCATGCAGCCTGGGATAACAGCTTCCAGTGTAATTTACTTTAATACCTGAGCTTCAAATAGCAGGAAGATAAACTACACATCCCTTTTTTACATGGAATGAATGTAATGCTCAGTCCTTTGAATTCCCAATTCTGATGTTTTTCTGCTATTTATCTTTTGGTATCCCAGAGGAAAACTTAATTCCCTCAAGTACATACTCAATGAAGTACTCAGTTATTAATACAATACCAACCATCTCTGTTAGCCACTGATATTCAATCTGTACAAAATAAATTGTAAAGTGTACACAGACTGAAAAAAGCCAGACTGATCAAAACAACCCTTTTTATCAAATAACAATTTCAAGAAGAAAACAGACCGAAATCACAAAGCACGCCTTCCTGCCCGTGTTTAGGACTTCATATTCTTTCAAGGTTAAAAAGGTCAAAACCACTATAAGCGGGCAATAAAAATTTAGAAGAGGTTGAAGGTTACACACTGGTTAGTGGTGAAGGTTCTTCCACTAATATCACTGGTTAACAGTACTGTTATAACCGCAATGTGGAATGCATGGTGCTGCATTTAAAGGAAGTGGTAAGGGTGGGGCAAATGCACTGGGTCCCACGATCAAAGCACTAGAGCATTGAATTTTACTTATAACCCAATCACTGACACCCACACAGCAGCTTCCTGTACTTTAAAAAAAAAAAGAAAAAAGAAAAAAGAAAAAAAAAAATCTGTTTCTCTCTTTTTGTAATCAACAACTTTTACCTAGAAACTAGTTAGCGGTGAGCTCTGACTGATTCCAATCTGCAGCTCAGGGCAGAAAACATAATTGTTAAACTGTGAGAACCTCCTAAGACCATTTCAACTGCCAGGTTTCAGTGTATCATCTCTTTCTGACTATTTAACCTTAATTACACAACAGTTCTACAAAGTCTGAAATCCAGTATGAGAAATATGTGAGCAGTGCAGGTTAATAAATGGAGCCTTTATGACAGAAAATACATTTTCTAAATCTACACAACTTCAGTCAGTTTTTGTGACAGCATGAGAAAATAACTTGCATTGGGATTCAGATCCCTGTCACAGGGCACCTCTATTCAGTGTGTCAACACACACCATTATTTTTCTTAATACTAGTAATAATTAATCTTGCCTTGTTTTTCAATTAACAGGCGAAGGAGAAGAGGAATGCACTGCTCACTATGCAGAGCACAGTACTGCTTCAATCTGGATAACTTTTTTTTGTGCTTTTTGAGCATTACTAAAACTCAACATCAATAAATACTGGAAAACTTTCATTTTTCTCAGAAACAAACCCTTTGGTTTGTCCAGTACCACCTGGTGAACATCAAATTACTTCAGCCTGCTCCCAGCGGGGCTGTACTAAACCTAATGTCCATTAGGAACTTTGTGGACTGCAAATGCATTCCTGAAGAAAAAGAGCATGCACGTATTCCCCGGGTGACTTTTATTAGAACAGTCTGGTCAGAGCAGCTAAAGAGGTTTTTCTTAGCTGATCTCCTTCAGCCCAAGAAGAATCTTAAACCAGGTAAGGGACAGAGACACCGATTTTTCAAATCTGTGTATGTAACAAAGCTGTGTTGGAGCTGTGATGTACACCTGTACCCAGACTCGTGGTTCTAAAATACCTCCCTTCCTTGTCATCTCCTTGTCTTCGTTTTTATACACTGATTTATACACTCCAACTCTCCTTAAAAGACTGTACTTCTGCTGGAAAGGCACAGAAGGGCATTTAATCAAAAAAACAAACGCATGAGATTTCTCTTGGACCAAAGATCAGTTTAAGACTGAGAAACATCTGAGATATCTTGAAGGCCTTGGTTCAAAAAAGGGTGAAAAAGAATAAAAATTGATTTATGAAGAACATAACTGTAAGCCTGAGATTCAGCCTAAGATACAGCTTTAAGGAAATACTCTCATGATTGCTATCCCCTCTCCTAACCTTAGTTTTTGAGAAGGGAAAGATACGGATCTCAAGGGTGTCTCAGCCATGCCACATAGCAAGTGCTTGCCTATCCTTTCTAGATAATAACCACAGACAGCTGCAAACAGAAGTATCTGCCAACAGCCATCAGATCACTGCTGCTTCTCAATGTCCAAGCTTTGAAAAAAACACCAACTACAGAAAAACAGCAAGAGAGGAAAAACAACCAATTTTTCAGTTTACAGGTTGGACTTTATATGCTGAAACGATTACCCACTGAAACTCTGCTGCTGACAAAGCTGCCCTAACTGAGAAGTTCTCTTAAGCACAGCAAGAAAAGCATCCCTAGAGCCCTTATTTGAGAGCAGCTAATCTGAACACACTTCTTTTGCAGGTTTGTGCAGGTACCCTTGGATGGGACCTCCATCAAGAGGCCAACAGAGGCTGTATCTGAAGCATCTCCCTGACCCTGTGCGCAGTTCCAGAAGTTTGCACCATTTTCATGAAGAAATAACAACTGAGGCACAACTCCATGTTTTCTGGGCAAAATACAGAGATATAGGCAAGGGAAACTATGGCATACCTTGGCCATGATCTGATAATCCAGAACAACCTGCATTAGCTCCATATACAGATGAGACCATGTTTGTATGCCACATAAGCCCTACTGAACTTTGAAAGTTGTTACCTTAGGAAGTTGTTACTTTAGGAAATCAAGCAACTTTTAATGCTCTGCAAAAACATCAGTTAGTGGATTCTACTTGATTTTAGAGCATTGAGAACAAGTAAAGCTTTCTGTCAGACCTCTATTGCACCTGACCTCACAAAAGACAAGCAAGCCTCACAAGTCATTTTCAAAAGCAAGAAGTTTTACAAAAGCAAGTATGAACTGGGAACAGAAATGCAACCTACAGATTTGGCTGCTAATAACTGGCATTTATTCATCCTTCAGCAAGATCTTTATCACATACTTTTTTTTTTTTTTAATTAAACAGACCAATGAGGAAAGTAAGAAACAACGGAAGTTTCTTTCTTGTTGTTTTCTGAGCAGTGTTCCCATTTCTAACACACATTCGTGTGCTTCTATCTCCTGCTCAAATCGCAGTATATTACTATGAAATTTCTCATGCTTTAAGTAACCGCTGAAGATTGCTTTGGTGTGGAAGGAAGGGAGGAGTATAACTGCATAAGCACATGAGGTTCGTTTGCTTTAAAAAAAAAACCTGCTTTGTTTCCTCCTTGTCTATTTTATCATAACAACATTTGCTTTGGGTAGAGCAGTGGAACCTTACAAATCTTGTGTCTCACAACAAGAGGGAAAATTACACATTTAAACAAGATTTTTGAAAAGACTGATTAAAGGCTGAGTGCACACATCTACAATCAAAGCAAATTATTAAAGCTGTGTGTCCAAAATTCTTCAGTATACACAAAAGAGGGAATAAGCAGACAGACAAATACAACACTAAAAAACCATGCATGTAAGTCAGCCCTGTGAAATGGATTGCCCATTTCTGCAAAGTGTATTTGCTAGGAGCATTCATGTTTTGAAGAAGTAACATAAAGAAACCACATTAAAGAAATAACATAGGTGTACTTAGTACTTGTTTGACTCTTTCATGAAAAAAAGATTACCTTCAGCTTTAATACTTCTTCTGTTCATAATCTAATGCTGTAGCAATGGTATGCTTATATCTGTTCTATTGAACAGTATTTTGCAAACCTTGGATTAATCTATGGGCATCCCTGTGATAGAAAGCGCTTTTCATGTTATCCAAGAATCTAATTCTAGCACAACTGGTTTGCAAAACCTGTCAGATCAACAGTATTTGTTGTAAACAGGATGGGTGCTGGTGCACGCTTTTCTCCAAAACACAGCAGTTGAAAGGCAGACAATCCTCAGTAGAATTACTAGCAGACAAGTAGAAAGATAAACACCTTTCAAATTCTGAACATTGACCCACGTTTACTGCAGAATTATGGGTCTGCTCATATACAGAATCCAGACCTCTTTTTTTTTTCAGGTAAGCCGACTAAACGTTCACTGCTAATATTAACTGAACTATTCTGCTGCTGTTAAAAGTAGACCTGAAACTAACAGCTCTAAAGTGGCTTCAGTTCTTGAAACAGTTTCACTGGTATCTGAATGTTTTTGAAAATCAGCTTTTTAAAAAGATCAGCTCTAGGGAGGGAGATTGAATTTCCAACCAGTTTCACTCTGGTCTATTGACAATTCCTGCCAATCTGCTGATAATCTCATACCTTCTTCCACAGCTGAAATGTAAAATATTAAGACAGAAAACTGACAACTTGTCCTTATTTCCAAGAACATACAGTAATATACTGGGGGAACTGGTTATTAAAAATAAAACCTCCTTACCACTGGGTGGCTTGGGTCGTGGAGGGACATTTTTCTTCGGTGGTAATGCTGGTGTGTCTGATTTGCTTTTGAAAGGGTCATCTGAGAATCCCATTCCTCCAAACGAGGAGGTGAAGGGGTCTGAAGCTACTGACTGCAACAGAAAAAAAGAAAAAGAATGTAAGCACATTGCAGAACACCTGTTGTTTTGCAAAGGTTCTAAGTTACCTCACTGAAAAGTGTCAACTTCAATTCTGTAAATGTGTCCTCAATTCTTGTTAATGTCAGCAGCACAAGATGCTCATATCTACTGCCAGAGGTGCCAGGACTTTGTCTAAGAGCACAAGTAATAAAGGACAGCTGTGCTCTTAATCACTTAAGTGCTTCTCAAACTTTTACCCCTAGCAAAAAGCTGAGAAGAATAAAAGGAAGCAGAACTCCCTTTTATTATTTAGTGATGGACATTCACACTACAGCAGAGCCTTCACTCCATGATAAATCAGAACCACGAAACAAAGTAGTAACTGTGAAACTATGACAGACTGTAGAATGGGCAGCTTTTCTTCCGAGCTTTACTTAAGTTACACCTATTTGTATTTTTTGTAAAGTCTTGGAAAATTCTAAAAATGCACTGTTTTAACATACGTCATATATTCAGCTGTTTTTTGTGAAAGACTCTCTTAATGATGACAAATGGCACAACAAACTGCACCACGCAGGAAAATCTATCCTGAAATAAGAATGCTTTGTAGGCGAAGCTAAAAGCTAACAGCCACCAAAACCTCCAACCCAAACCAAACACTTCGGTATTTGTAAGGACTGCTGCCATCTACTGGAGAGCAACCTCACAAAAACAGAAACATCAGAAAAAATTAACTGCAAATTCCAAAGTCAGACTCACAAAACCAATAGCAGACTGCGACTCCCATTCAGATTAGGAGGTATGGAGATACAACTACTTGGAATGCATCATATACACTCAGTTTATAACAATAAACCAAAAAACAGCAATCCTGTTAAATGTGAACGTCAGCACACGTTTTCCACCCTTCTCATGGTTCCCCATACTTATGGAGAAGTTTAAGAACAAGTCAGAATGCCATGAGAAATGCAGTCGGTACCAAAGCAAACGTAACAATATATTGCTGCACCTGCCTTCCATTATCTGGATCAACTACCTTTGATTGCAAGTGAAAAATAGATGTTACTTCTTTTGTTCCACTGGTACTTGAGAATGTGTGTAGAAACCAATTTCCCCCTCTTGAACCTACGGTCTTGATTAGAACTTTTACATATTGAGATGGATTGAAGGTATTTTGCTAAGGAATTGTTGAGACTGATCAAAAAACAGCAGAAATGGACTGTCAGCTCGAACACTGCAATTATATCACACCCTTCAAAAACGTTTAAGGAATTTTTAAGAGCACACGTTTGCTTTCCTCGTGATTTTTACCTTTGACATCTGACTGAAGTCTGCAAATCCTTCGCCACTACTGAAAGCGCCACTTCCAAATGGATCCAATGTTCCAAATGGATCTGTAACAGGTATGAAAGAAGTCATTACAATTATGCATAAGAATTTTTAAGAGCTTGTTGTGAAAAAGTAGGAAATAAACAACACTTGCATTTTTCCATCCATGCGATGTTATGAGAAGATTGCAAAGAGCAATATGCTTTCTATCAGTGTGTTAGGAAAAAAAAAGAGCAAACTGTTTTTCTTCTTACCTGGACCTTTTGAAGAGACACTGGAAGAGGTAAAAGGATCACTGCTTTCAAAAGGGTCAGGCTAAATAAGAACAGATATGTAATTACTGTTGTGCTGTACTGCACACTTCTCTTTTATGCACATCAATATTTACTGCTTTAGGACAAACTGTTTCCAGTTTCAGATCACTCTGTTTAGTGGACATACAATGGGATAAAATCAGATGAACAGATGAAATACGTAGTATTTGGCTACTGACAACACTGAATGAAACCAAAACACAGTGAAAAGCACATCACACAAACACAATCAGTATTAGTTCCTAGGGCAAAATAAGAAATTACACTCAGAAGCATTCAGAAAAGCAAACTACTGTGATTAAATCAAGTACAAAGTACAAATCACTGACCTTTGAGGGTAAAATGGAGGGCTTTGTGAATGGATCTGATGTGAACGGGTCACTCTTCACCTGCTTCTTGAAGAAATCCTCAGGGGCAGAACTACGAAATGGATCACTTTCCTTAAATGGGTCACCTCCAAAAGGATCTAGAAGGAGTATTAAAAGGTAAATAGAATGTAGCACTTAGAAGAAGTAGTGTCAATAATGAACCATTTTTCATTTGACCTCATACTCACTGATTTTTTTTTCTTACTAGAAAACAAATGAAACCACCACCAACAAAAACAAACAAAAAAACACCATGGCAAACCAACAAACTTCCAGATACTTTCTGTTCTGGGTATTAAGTTGCAACAAGTACACATTTTCGGTGAATATCTGACAAGGTTACAGACTCCACTCAGTGAAAAGTTAACAGTGTATGCAATGCATTGATCTTGTTTGCACTGACTGCCAAGTTTTTAAGCTCCCACATGCAAACCAAAAGCCAGCTCCATCTTTGTGTTTGGCTACAAATTGTCTAACTCATCTGTCCTGTCATGGTAAGGGCTATTACCTGCTGGAGCAGGTGGCTGCTCTGCAAAAGGATCATGCTGGAATGGGTCACCTATGCAGGACAGAAAAATCACTTGTTTTATCCACTATTTAGCAAGATGATAAAAGTTTGAAAATATCATTTACTCAACAGTTGGTCTTCAAGGTCTCAGGTAAGCCATTGGTCACTTACTGCCTTTGAAAGGGTCTGCTCCCTTAAATGGATCAGATTTGAAAGGATCCTCTGACTGGAATGGGTCTGCATGCAATTCTTGCGTGTTATTGGTGAACATCAAGGCTTTACTCTTGAATGGGTCATCCTAAGAATTCAGAAAACAAAATACTGACTTAAAGGAAACACAAGAAATGATTTAATTAGTGCTGGAACTGTCTTAGCAGAAGAGAAATACTAATACATTCTGGAAAGTAAACTTACTTTTTTTTAAACTGAACTGTGTAATATATATATTATATATATTTGGAAATAAGAAATGCATTATTAAGGACAAGTTTATAGCAAGAGAAGTTGCTTAATGATTTCAAGATTAGGTGTAAATAACAGATCTTCATTATTCAAAACACTCTAAATAACATTACAAATCTTTTCTTACCATTGCTCCATAATTGCTTCTTTCTGTCTGCCCAAGGCCTTCACTTATGTCTGCTAAATTTGTCAGGCTACCACCATTAACCCCATTGAGAGCTTCATTATATTCTTCTATACTCTTACTGACTTCTTGATGGCTCTCCTGAAGTTGAGAAAGTTTACTTCTTGCCTAAGTAGTGAAAAATTATTTAGTATGTTGATCTTTCAATACCGCAGTCATCCTCACAAAACTGAAGGGTGCAGCTACTATGGAACTGGTTACTTCAGAGATTCAGTAAGAAGACAATCCTTTCACCCATGGTTAAACATGGTTGCAAGACAGTTGCTTCCCCCTCCCTACCCACAACTCCCTCAGGAGTTGAACTTCTTCCGACTCAGACTGGGAATTGACCTACTGAGCAACAATCAGAAAGGCTTATTTCATGCACCACTATTTCTTCTCTTCTGTAAAGTCATCCTTCTAGTTGATGTTCAACTTCTAGCACTTTAAAGAAGGAAAAGAATGACGTCATGCAAACAACAGTGAATACCTGGTTTATTTCTTCCTGTGTTGATTTTAAAGACTTGATTATTGTTTCAAGCTGCACTTTCCCAGCCTGGATACTCTGCTCTAACTGTGTCTCTTCCTGCTGGAGGCGATTCAGCTCTGCTTTTGCTCTATTAAGATCATCTTCCTGTGATTTTAAATCTGATTCCTGAGATTGAATCTGCATTTTCAGCGATGAAATCTGAAACAAAACATTATAAAAATCAAAGAGAAATTTGAAGTAAACGTACCTCAATACATTATGAATTCATAAAAAGTATGAAGCTGTAAAGCAACTTACCCAGTGTTACAGAAGATAAAAATCATAAGCTGAAGAACTGCATGCTTTTTACATTACACAGAATTTTCAGTATAAGCATGCAGAATATTCTATAAAACCAAGAACTACTAGTATCTAAAATGACATAAATACCACACTAATTGTAAAAGTAATTAAAGATTGTTTCTTAAGTGGTTATCCTGTAGCTTTCAGAACTTGGTGCCTTTTCCACTGAAATATTTATCAAGTGCTACAAAGCTGATTTTTTAACTGGTAGATTTAAATTTATACAGCTGCATAAAGCTCTCCTGAAATACTTTCTTGCATGGCATTATACACCAAGTTCCTGATAACAGTATCTCCCTGAAAACCTACCTTTAAATTAAAATACTGATCTGAGTTTCACAGTGATAAAAATACACACTACTGCCCATGGACTGCCTGATGGGTCAGGAATAATGCTTCTAACTGTTCCAGTGGGCTGATGGGCTGAATATTTCATGTAGTCAAAGAACAATTTTCATAGGGACGGACTTCTGTAGATCATCTGATGGAGTGCCACATTTATAACTGTTATGAAAGTTGTGTAAGTTAACAAAATCCTTTTCGGATCTCTGTATTTGTGTGGAAATTGCTATTTATGGTTGAAAAATTACAGACAGCAAAAGCTTGTTTATGAAATGAATGCAACTTCCTTCAACAAAAGACACAATATACTTGAGGACCTCTAGCATAAACATACACTCACCACCTGTGTTTCCTCCTGGCATTTCTGCCTTACATCATTCAGCATATCCTTCAGTTTGGCTTTCTGTTGGTCCATTTCATCCAGGCGGTCCTGGGCATCTTGTTTCTGAGCCTCAAGCTCTTGCAAGTTACTTGTCTCCCTGTCTAAATCATTTTGCAGCTCCTGAGGAAAATCACACAGTTTGTAACTTACATTTAGCTCATGCCTTATGAGAACGATCAATCACAGAGAAAAAGGCTGGCACACTAAGCAGGATTTTCTATGTCATACAGACTATTTCCTGTGTACACACACTTTCTTTCAGCAGGAATTTGCAGATATTGTACAAATCAGTGCCCAGAAGAAAGAAAGGATCTGTGATGCAGAACACATGTAATTGAGTTACCTTTACTATGAAAAACAAACTAGTTGTGCAACGTCAGTCAAACACTAATTAAGACATTTCAAACCATTCATGCATCATTATCAATTTATATTAACCAGCATCAGAACAAAACATTTCTGATGGAGAAAAGGAAACTAAAGACCTTTCTGTAAGTTAGAGAAACTCCCATGCAAGAAGGAGACTTGTCCAGAAACCACATATGGAAAGGCAGAAGAAAGAAGGCTTCTCACTATATTATTTTAGATTACAAAAATCAGTGATTATAAATATAGGAGTTTTTACCTGAACTTCATTCGTTTTCTGTCTAATTGAGTCTTCCTTTTCCCTAATGTCTTGCTCCAGAGAATATTTTTCCCTGTAAGATAAACAAGCAAATGTTTTCATGATTAGTTAAATAATACAACACACGTGCAAGAACCAAGTAAATATTATTCTGGAAACAGCAAACAAACAAAAATCTTTGAGGAAGTAATGGTACATTTCAATTATTCTCCAAAAAAATATGACCTATTTTCGACCTTCTGCAGTCACCTGGAAGACTCCAGGCTGACTTTACAAAACTGGCTAACTGGATGGAACAACTGGGAGAGTCATTACCAACCTCAGTGACAAGCAGTAACAAACAGATTAAAAGAAAATAATTGTAAATGACATCAGCACTATAAACTCAATTGGTTTTCTTACTTCTAGATTTACAGTCAATGGCCCACAAGTATTACCTCTGCAGCTGTGCAATTTCTTGACTAATATCATCTAGCTCCTTCACCCCTGTAAATTCTCCTGATCCAACAGAACTTGAACTATCCTGTTAGGAACAAAACAGCCTATTAGAACACAGCTGTGACAGATCTTCCTTTACAAAGGCTGAAGACAAAGGTGGGACACAATTCTCTTGCACAATTCCATCATGCAAACAGCAAGAATCAAAGACCACAAGTGCAAAGAGAGAGAAGGTATAGAAAGAAACTCTGAGTTCTAAGCAGGGTGCACAAACAATTCTGCAATGTTACTGTTACTCACACGACGCATTTCTGTTAGTGCTGAGATTTCAGTTCCTACAGGAGTCAAGTAACCTGACAGAGTCTATAGAAAAAGGATACAGGAAAAAACTTAAAAGGACTAGAGCAATGGCAACAACAGAAATATATTTACAGACTCAAAAGCTGGCTAGGAAAAGTAGAAAAGTAATGGAAAATGCTACTTAATTTACAGAAAAGGTGAACACACAGACATGCCAAAAGTGTTCCTTAATAGAAGTTTCAGAAACACAGAGCCATGCTATTAAGAAAAGGAACAAATAACATTCAGTATAAGATCCAATGCTTTCATGATCAATAATATGTTATTTACAGTGATGGACACTGGATTACAGACTGCTATGCTACAAAGATAAGCCAACCACCAATTCCCAGAAGCTCATTACCCTCCAGATTCCCATTAGGAGAATTTCACATTTTCATGGGAGGAATTTGGTCCTGGCCACAGCCAGAGCCAGACTACTGAAAGTCTTCCAGCACTTCCTAAGGAAGGTTTTTTTTTTAAAAAAACCAACTACTTTGTGACAAAGGAGTATTTTTCCAGTTCAGCTTTTCTCAGTTATTAATGAAATGTTACTGCCTTGCTTTGACATTTTTGTCAGTTTTGAAATGCAAAAGGAAACATCACTAAAATGAGGAAAAAAAGCCATTCTTTACCATCACACTGCAAAACATAAACATTACGAAATTAATACTCATGGACCATTTCAATCAAGGCACACAAGCTCTGTGTATCCACAAATAAGCCACTACTTACCTGTATGGGCGTATTCCTCTCTGTGGGAGGGATCATATCTGGGGACAACACTTGTGGAGGATCGATCCCTTTACTGACCTTCTGTTGAATGAGATACATTGCTAGTGCAAACTGATCTTTGCTTAGCTTTCCTATCTGTCTTGTATCTGCCAAAGCCCTGGTAAAAAACAGATCATACTTATAAACAAGGAAACTACTCTTCTTTACCAAAAAGTCTGAAATAAAAAAAGCATACGTAATTTTCTTTTGATTTAGCCCCATCACAGCTTGTTTACTGCAGTGAAAAAGCTCCATAGAGCAATTTCTATCAGGCATATTGGACTGAATAGAAAAGCATCATGCTGACAAAATCTTCAGAACACTAGAACTGCAAAAAACAATCACAGCTCAGTCTGATCTACACCCCTCTCCCAGGACAGCCCAGTGAGAATCTATTTCTCTCTTGATTTTCCATACAGCCCACATCATAATCCTGCAACAGGACAAGCAAATGAGGCTGATGGCTTTTTTTTTTTTTTTTGAATTGTTTTAGTGTTAAGATTACGATTCTGAATGGATCAACAGCCTTCCCAGACCAGTGAGATGCAAAAATACAGCTACTAGAGAATTCTTACCATATATGTGCTAGGAGATTCTGAGACAGACCTGAATGCATAAAAATGTCCTTTACTTCTTGGCCACTCACAAAACCATCCATATCTGTGTCTGTTTTTACGAAAATGTCATCGTATCGCACTTTCTCAGACATTGGCACGACCCAATTCACAGATGGCTGTAAACAAAAAAGTTCTAGACTTCAGTAAAAAGGCTGAAGGAGTCAAAAGACAGCGAGAGCAGAGCGCACAGCGTTCTTCAGCATGCAAGTGCTGAATGTATCTTGCACAAACTAATCTGATGGCAAACAATTACTTCCCTTTTCCCATGAATCTTTCAGCTGAATACTACCTGAATTAATAAATACTAAGAAAGAGTTATTCATCAGCTGAAAAATGCTAATTCTTTGGAAATACAGACCCAGCTACCTTCACACAGGAATTATAGAAGGCAGATTAATTATTTTTATTTTTTTAATTAAAGAAAACCTTTCTATGGAACGTGAAAATTCTCCATTAAGATTTGCTATGTCTCATGTTCACGTAACTAAAATTCACATGCTCTTCTTCCATTCTCTGGCCATTTTCTCCACTCAAAAAACCTTGCATTTTCAGAATGCCTACACAAGGAAGCATTTCCCCTCTCCTTTCCATCCCCCCCTTCACTTTACTGATATGGAAGGAAAAAAAAGAAAAATCACACCTGTGCTTGTTTGATGCTGTGCTTGGGAGACAAACTCTCCGTGCTGTTCAGACTGTTTACACTACCATGAGATGGGGTAGAACGCAGGCTGTCTTTTGGAGGAGGACTTGCAGGGAGAACAGGAACTGCACCAGGAAAGACAGGTGTCTTCTTTCTTTTAGAAGGTGGTATGAGAGAAGGGGGTAACAGTGAAGGAACTGGCTCTTTCTCGAGAGCTCTATAAACCAAATGCATTGCCTGCAAAGGCAAAGAGGTCAGATATAATGTTAACAGTGAAAAAAAAAGAAAAAGCAATGAGATTTTCCAGTATCAGCAGTTTATGTATTAGTAAAACAAAGACAGTAAGATTAGAGAGAGAGAGAAGCCAGAGAAGAACATGATTGTGAATGTTATTATGAAAATGTTGATCTTGATGACACAGGCAAGAGTTCAAAAGGATTGAGAAAGACCATAAGTGCACGTGAATGATTTGGATCATGAAACAGAACGCAGCAGAGCAAAGCTGCAACACTCAGGTAACAGCAGAGCGATTGGCTCTAGCAGATGCACTATGAATTGAAGATATAAAGCAACCTACCACAGCGAATTCATCTTTGTCCAAGTGACCATCTTTATCAATATCACTGAGATCCCAGACCTGCGGCATTTATGATAAAAACAAGTTACATTCTGTGCCTTTGATATCAGCTGTCAAACATTAAGCATGCCTTCTAACAGCTTCTAACACACTTTGGTGAAAACAGCATCATATTAGATCTAGCTGTGATTCTCCTGTGAAACAGACTGGTTTGGAGTTTTCTGGCAATGTCAATCAAATATTTTGTGGAAACATTGGCTCTAATAAATCCAGCACATAAGAGATGTATGTTTTTCATCTTCCTGTGTTGCAATTAAAGATTCATCAAACTACAAACATCCAGGGATGTTTTTGTGATTCCCCAGATGGTGTATGCTGACATATCATCCCAGTTTGCTTTGTAAGAAAGTTAAGACACTTTAGAAAAGTCAATATTTCTCATTTGCATTTCACTTCAAAAGTCTGCTTTCCGTTTCAGACAAAAAACATGGCCAGCCCTCAGAATTTTCTGCAAGAGAATTTAAGCATCTGTCAACTTTATTTCATTATTAATGTCAAGTACAGACAATGACTTCCACAGAAAGGTGCAAAATGTTGAGTGTTCTAACACCTGGCCATGCCTGGACACTGTCCAACCAATTATTCTGAGTGTACAGATTGCCAGACTGAGGCTCCACCATCTGACCTCTGCTCCTGGCTTTTTCACTGTGTGTCCACACAAATGTAGGACACTTGATTTATGTCCCTTGCCCATTTAGCCCCTCTCCTATCCCATGTACAAACTCCTCTGAACACAGGTAAGCTTCCTGCATTTCTGTCACTAAAGTAACACAATCAAATATGAAGAGTTCCAAGATTGCTTCACAATATTCAAGTGCGGAATTAAAACAAAACATACTCAGATTTTGTAGACAATATATTGAGTTCTTCCTGAAGACATTGGAGTATATGATAATGCAGATACAGCTCTTACACACAATGTATAAATTCTCCATCATATCAACACGCAAAGAGAACACTAAGGAACACACTTTAAACTGAAGCTGAAAAACGCTTTAAGGTCTGTTGCTTTTGCAAATACAGAATGGATGCACTGAACTCAGAACTATTTATAAATACATGTGAAAAAAATACTTGGCAATTTCACAGCTACAATGAACTAAGATGCTGTAAAGTGCTCTCCTGTACAAACAGTAGACAGATTTAATGGTATGGCTAACAACTTGCATTTGGAAAAGTGACAAAACAGTGTAATCCAATGTTATAAAAGCTATTAGGGTTTAGGAGAAAGTGATTTGTTGTTTTTTTCCTCATTTGTTTGTGCTTAATACAACCACAGTCAAAATTTCTACCTCTTAAAATGAACAGGGAGATAATGGAACCAATCTACTCAGGGGCCCAAATTACTATTATTATTCTAAACGGATGATTTCAGACACTACTTAACATTCCTACTTTTTAGCATGCACTTGACGTAAAATCCAGCTAAAAACCTATTTATGTTGATAAATTACACTTTAATATTAAACACTGCAGGTAAGAGAAGCTAAATAGAGAATAGCTAAACCTAAACAGCATACTTACCCTTCCTAGGATATCAAGAGGTAGCTTTGAATTCATCAGAACTGGTTTTACTTTGTCTCCTGAAAGTAAACCATTTACTGGCAAAAGGCTTTCAAAAATACCATCAAACTTTGCTTTTTCTTCCACCTAGTTGGTAAGAAATAGCCTGAATAAGTAAAAAAGTGTGCCTGCGTGAGTGTTGAAAATGAGATCTTGCAAGAAATTAAGACTGGACAGTAAAGCATTCATTCTAAATTTCCAAGCTTTCTCGCAAGTGTTGCCCTGATGGTGGAGCTTGGTTTCAAGGCTAAGGATGTGATATCTAAGAGATTTTAGCATGCAGTGTAGAAAATACATTTCTACAGTGTTCTGAAAGGACAACAAATTCTGATTACGACACTCCTGATAAGATTTTAAACCAACTAAGAACTGTTTGTTCCAAAAGATCAGCTTCCCACTTAATGGTACAACATATAAGTGAAAGATCACATTAGAAGCCATTTTGGAAAACGTTTGCAACTGCAAAGCAAGTAAACGCAAATATTCCAATGCTGCTATCACAAGCTACTTTATTCCAATGACATATATTGTGTATTATCACTAAATACTACGTGAACTCAAGCTTGAAATTAATTCTTCAGGATGAATTTGCTGAAATGCTTCACTGTTCTCAGTGGGGTTCCTTATAGAAGCATCAAAGTGCCTACTATTAGGATCCTGGAAGAAATCCAGGCAGAAGATCAAAATTCACTCTGTCTTAAAAACATCACACCCGGGATCGTCACAGGCTTGTTTAATACTTAATTCAACTGTAAGCTCAATATTCTTTACCACACACAAGTCTGCCATCAAGGAAGGACTTTTGAAATGGGAAATATATTTGATATCAAATTCTCTCACTGGGAACACCAGAGACAAGGAAAACATTTAGAGAATGAATGGAATGTGTTGTCTTTCACACTTACCCTAACAGCCCAGTGAGTCTCCGTTGAAGGCGGGGTGATCAGCAAGGGACTGCTGGTGTCATGCTAAAATGAAAGTTTTACTTTTATTCATACACACACACACAGAAAGAGGCAAAGCTGTAGTCATGCCCATTGCTATTCACTGTTGTTGACACAGATCAAAAATCATCTCCCCCCTCCCCATAAACGGAGGTTTTAGCCACATCAGCTTAAAAGCACGGAACGAGCTGACTGCAGTGAAACTTGCACTGACTTTGCAGCCCAGGATGGGGCTGGAACTTCACAGGAAGACAGGACAGTGGCAGATGTGCTGTGAAACACTGATGGCAACCTGAAGTCTGAAAACCATGATGTTTATAAAACAGATTATTTATAAAACTACTTCAGCTGAAGCTTTACTTCTCATGCAACATATGCAAACATTCAGGTATGTATTACTTACAAATTTAGGAGGTGGCACAGTCAAGTTCAGGCTGCTCAGGTTAACCTCATGGCCGTTCTGTGCGCACGCTACGAGGCGCAATGCCACATAGAAGCCCTACAAACAATAGTGCTTTCTATTAAAATAAGCAGCCAGTTTAACTCACCAGCTCCAATAACCCATTCAGGGTTTTACCAGCAGCATACACATAACCCCGAGTAAAGCACGGAAACAACAGATGTGCAGCCCCATGCAGTCACTGCACTGCAGCAATACCTCACTGCTTTCAGAAGAGATTCAGAAAAGACTTTGTAGTGACATGGAACAAGGAGTAAAAATCTTCAAAGCTGGTTTTTAAGGGCTGCCTCATAACTATTTTTAACTTTTTTTCTTAAGAATTAATAACATTCAGAAAACAAACCAACAACGCTCCATAGGTACACAAAACTAGAGCATGTGTTATTCCAAGTCATTCAAATAATGCCAGTACAAGAACGATTTCTAAAATAGATCCTAAAACTAGAGTTTGTATTTATTACTCTCAGTGACTGTGTGTCTACGTATCACACATTGATTACTGAGAAAACAGGAGGAGCAGAAAACAAGAACTACTCCAGCAGCCTCACTGAATAATATACTTGAACATCAGCAGCACCAAAAAACAAAAAAAATCATCTTGTAAATGAAAATTTAGAGGGGAGAAAAAAAAAGCTAAGGGGAATTACTGTGGATATCAGGGTTTTCTGGAATCAAGGCTCCACTGTAGAAGGCAATGTAAGAGGTTAACAGGAACATTTTATTTACCTGTTTATCCAAGTACCCTTTACCTTCTGGATCAGCCAAATCCCATATCTGTGGAGATACAAATTAAAAGCCACTGAAACTTTAAAATAAAATTTAACTCAGCTCAACAATTCATGCTATACGCCTTTTCAAACTGTTAATTGCAACTGCCAAGTTATGAAATACAGTTCTATTTAATTCTCAAGTTAACAACAAAAACGTGACAGCAGAGACAAGTTTTCCTCACAGATCCCTACAAAGCCCAGAAAAGACCCTGAATTCTTGGCAGCCAGTGGTTAACCTGGAGGTCAAAGGATCCGATTCACAGTCCATCTCACCTGCTTTCATTAACCCCTTCTGCTCAGTCTTAGCTGCAGTGAAACAAATGCACAGATAATTACTGCAAACATTGCCTCGTTCCTCCAACTCACCTTTCCAAGGACAATATCAGACAGACCAGACTTCTTAAGAAACAGCGCAGCTTCGCTTGCCCCAACTCTCCCCGTGTATGTTGGATCTACCTGGAAGACAGAGGTTTGCCTTCAACTGAAGGATGCCATGTAAGCAGAGACAAGAAACGAAATGTCTTATTCATGCTTCTGTAACACCTCATATGGCTCCACTCAGTGGAAAGGATTTACAGAAGTTTAGCGTGGGAGAGAGGGGAAGGAAATTGTGCTTCAATCTCCTCAAACTTACCTGTTTGTAATAAGTTTCATACAGTGGAATCCCAGCAGAAAACTGAAAAACAAGAGGGATGATAAGAAAATAATGAACTGCAATCAAAGACTGCCTGCATTTAGTGACCACGAGAAAAATAAAAAGCACATAGTACCCTGTGCAGTATTTTTATCAAAAAATGCATATTTTTAAAGAGTTCAGGAAAAAAGTGAACACCAGGGTTTATTACCAAATGTCATAATTCCCTGGCAATGTTGTTTGAAGATTTCAGCTTGGTGCTACCACTGCATTACACAAAAGCAGCAAACACAAAGGCGTGTTCTTGGCGTACCAAAAGGGCAGACTTCTCTCCCCGAGGTTCCAAAGAAATGAGAACTGCAATTCCTAAAGAGGAGAAGCCCCAAACACAACTCCTACAACAGAGAGACAAGTCCTAGCTGTGCAGCAGTTACACCTCCTCACTGTTCTCCAGCATTGCTACCAACAGCAAAAATACTACAATCCAACCACTGTCTGAAACAAAGTCACCCCTCATGGCAGCCAAAGGCCTTGAAAGGCAAACAACAAAACAACCCATTAGGAAAGTTAATGACTGAGATGCAGAGGTGTTGAAACATCCCAAAGTGCGCTTGGGACGACTGCTCTCCACCTGCAGGACATTACTCAGACACCCAACAAAGGATTCCTTCATTCACTGTCACCTCCCAACCTCCACCTTCCTCCTGATCACCCAAGCTGGCTTCTGGATGTTCTGCCCACACCGAGAAGGGAGAGAGAAATAGCACAAAATAAAATGAAGACTGGTGAAGAGGAGGAAACGTCATGTTACACAGAGAATCTTCCCATGTGTTCAAAGTAAACTGGGCAAATCTTAATTTAAGGAGCTATCCAATATGACTACCCTTGATCATTAGAAGTGGACACTGAGCTCTCTGAATGCCAATTATTCTACTGGGCTAGCACAATTTTCAGAACTTTCTTAAACATCTTAAATGTTCTCCATTTAAACCCATCAGCAAAGGAAGCTACTGCATTCTGCACACCACCAGATGCCCTTACTCTTCCAGAAGCAGGACAAGAGTTTCAGAAGAAAGCCGTGGCCATAACTCATAAGCCTGACTCATCCTTCTGCTAGCTAAACGAACAGCATGGATAAGCCCTGTGTTCCTGTCCAGAGTAGGAAACGCATCACTCAAAGATGAGGAAATAGGAAACAGTCTGTCCGACTCTGAATAAAACATGGTATGCTTTAGCTAGCTGCACCCAGCCCGACACCTCCCACTTCTTGAGAGCCCAGAGCAGCCACAGCCAGCTACAAGCTCCTCCAACCGATTTGGCAAACATCCTAGAGCACTGGATTCATCCCAGATAGAGCAAACCACTCCGGCAGCAGCATGGAATGATCTCACCCGATCACCAGACATTCCTCCCATCTTCATTTGATACTGCCAGCCTTGACATACAGCTGACTTACCTGACAGAGGAGGCAGGAATCCAGGGTGATGCGCTTAATGCGGAGAGGTTTCACACACAGCAGTGCAAATGCACCCAAGTGCTGCTGGAAGCACTTTATCACTCCACTCCCTACTTGCACTATTTTACAAAGATTAAGCTTTTCTGACCGATTTACCTAAATGACTGCATCTTTGTGATGAAGCAGACCAGACAAAATGGGCTCAAGTGACAAAAATAGCATAGCTGCATATCTACCCATCACACTACGCAGCACACGCTCACATCTCTACGTCCTTTAACACAGACCTGAGAAAAAGGCCGCAGTAAGCTGCTGCCATCAGAACAGTTACCAAACTAATTAGTTTAGCAGTATTAGTAAACTAATACTAAACCAGTTCCTAGCAGCCCTCTTTGCTGAGGTCGCATCAGGGCCACAAAGGGCACTGCATCAGATGAGCCATTTGCTTTGTGCCCTCCTGCTTCACAACTTTCTTCTGGCTGCTCTCATCACATCACACGGTGGATGAGAACAGGTACTTTGAAAGGGGAAAACCAACTGTCCCACAGAGATGAAAGCCAAAAGACAACAACTGCTGCCCCAGAAAGATTACCTTTGCCTTGACTCCACCTGCTGAGTACCCTGAGCTGCCTCAGAGGACAGATTGACAGCACTGTTCCAACATCCCTAATACAACTGTACATAACTTTCAAAGGTTGTAAGTCAAACACACCCAGCAGAGTGGAAAGACTAGAGATAAGGTGACCAAATATTCAAGATAATAAAGTTATCAAAGGTAAATCAAAACCAGTTTCCATTGTTACTTCACACGAGGAGTGATTTTAGGCGCTGGCTCTCAAACTTTGTGCACAGCCATCTTAGCCAAGGACAGCTGAGACTTGTTAAGCATTGTGCATGCTGCAGGCTAGACATCTGAATTTTCTTTCCTAAAAACAGAACGTCATAGAACAGGAAGAACACTGTAATTAAATTCATGTATTAAAACAAATATAGCTAAATGCTTTCACATGTCTCAGCTGCACATGTTGCTTGTGGCTCATAGCATGCTGCCATCAACATTCTTATATCTGAGCGAATGCACTGCAACACAATGGATGTGTAATCCCTCCTATTCCTTTTAATACCAGTTCTGGCATTTGTTATAACAAGCAGATATCTTTGCAGTAATCGTGAAATTGAGACCATTACCAGAGGAAGTTTATTCATTTCCAGCAAAATTCTGTTTCTGCCCTCAGCACAGCTTCCAATGAATTCATTGTAAAATAACGCCAGAATAGCAGATGTGTTCACAGAATATATTCACAAGGGCTCTTTTTTTCCTCAAGACAATGTACTATGTTATACAACAGAAAATACGATTGATAGCATCAGAATTCACACAATCTCCAGTAAAAGAAACACTCGATGCGTTTTTACCCGTGTACAACAACAAACCCTTTCAAATCCAGTGACCGTTTTACATACACGTTTGGCAACGCTTTGCTTCACTCGAAACCTGTCAACAATTTGCACACTTGTGGATGTACTGGATCTTTCTGAATGTCCACTTAATGACAAAATGTTAATCAGGAGCCTTCCTGCTACCCAAAATGCTAAGAAAGCAGCGCCCTCCCTTTATAAGGGACACGGCAAATTAGTGTTACCAAACATAAGGCAATTCTATCAAAAGGTAAGGTTTTGGTGTCACAAATGACAGACCTGCGTGTGTCAGGAGTTGGGCTGGTGACCCTCGGGGGTCCCTTCCAGCTCGGGATGTTCTACACTCCTAGAAAATTCACAACTAAGCGAAATAGCTACATTTGCATGACATGAATTATCAGCAGCGGTTGTTATGAATTCCTGCTTGGCCTAGCCGTGACACGAGGATGTTTTGTTCACGGGGCTCCTGTTTTCATTTGGAGAACATAAGAAAACCGAGCATCTTCACGTACAGCACAGACGTCGACCGCACCGCTCAGGCTGAAATTACTCGGGGGAAATTAAGCCAAAGAACTCTGTGACAGCAGCAGCAGCAGCACCGCCCCGCGATGTGCGGGCCGCACCTCGGCCAGCCCGCGGCTCCGGGTCCCGCTGCTGCGGAAAGCCCCGCGGCCCCGCGCCCACGGCGGCGCTGCTCGCGCACTGCGGTCGGTCCCGGCAGCCGAAGGAGACGTTAACGGCCGGAGCGCCGGCCGACGGAGCACCGCCGGCGGGCGGAGCGAAGCGGAGCGCGAGGAACGCGCGGCGCCCGGAGCCGCGCGGCCTGCAGGACGGAGCCCATCGTGCCGCCGCCCCGCCCCACCGCGTCCCTCCGCTGCCCCGGCCGCGGGCAAACGCCGGGCCCGCGTCCCAGCACCGACCCGGCCGCAGACGCGCCTCCCGCGGCGGGAGGACCCGCACCGTGCCGGGCCCGCTCCCCGCTCCCCCTTCCCCGAGCCGCGCCCGGCCGCCGGGCCCGGAAACCCTCCGCTCGCCTCAGCCTCAGCCTCAGCCGGGCGGGCCGGGCCGGTTACCTGCTGGCTGAGCAGGATGAGCGCCGCCATCTTCCTGCCGCCGATTCGGGCAGCGGCCGAGGCGGGGGGGGGGGGGGGCGGGGCGAGCGGCGGCGGTAGGCGGAGCGGGGCGGGCCGCGGGAGGGCGGAGGAAATGGCCGAGCGGAGCCGCCTCGGAGGCCGAGAGAAGCGGGCGGGAGTTGTCTGGGCCCTGGCCCCGGCCGGAGGAGAGCAGCCACGGGAGCCGTCGCAGCTTTACGCCGTGGGGTGACGGGCAAAGCGGGGCCGGGAGCGGAGCGCCGGGAAGCGAGGCGAGGCTCTGACGGAGCGCTGAGCTGCAGGAGCCGCGTCCGAGTTCACTTTCGATTGTGTTGCACAAAACCTCGTCGAAACAAAACTTCCACCCCATTAAGCTGCCTCGGGACTCCGATCAAACGTTCAGTGTGAAGAACAACGCTAACAGCTGGTGCCTGCGCTCACAGAGAGCAGGAAGCAGCCTGAATGAATGCAAGGTCACATGAAAACTACAGTAAGAGGGATTTGTTTAGCAAAAAGGTCAAGGATGACACCCTGCTGTTTTCCAGTAGCTGTCAAAGTTCTGCACCCCGAAGGGCCATTTAAGTTGTCTTAAAGGACAGAGGACAGGGATCAGTGCAGGAATTTGACCTCAGTTTGGTCACAGCGCCACAGCTGAGACAAGGCCTGCACCACTCCTTCCATTCCCTCCTTACTGCATAGAGATTGGGAGAGGTAATGAAAAGTGATGGGCTCAAAGTCTGGCTTCAGATTGAACCAAATTTATAGCATTACAAACAAGAGCGGAAAGGAAAAAGCTACGCATAGAAGATGTAATTACTAGAGAGGCTTGGCAAAGCTTATCTCTAGTTTGAAGTAGGTTGTGAGAATGCTTCACGTATCTGACATGCTGAAGCCTTTAATGAAACAAAGCTTATTTTGGTATCAGCATGAATTTACATTTCATATTAAATCATCAAAAAGTCTCAAAACATCAAAACAAAATGGGTATCTTAGCACAGCTAAAATATATTTAATAAAAGTTACCCTGTTTAGTAGCTAATTTAATAACTCTATTTTTCTAAAAAGTAACTGAAAGAGTTCACAAATTTAAGATTACCACTAAAAACATCCTGTTAATACAGCTTCAATGCAGACTTCAACAAAACATCAAAGTCCTTACAGAGCGATGTGAGCATCTTTCAAACGATTACAACTCCTCTTTCTCAACAGGACTCTTCATTATTCTATCTTTCTGAGATTCGCTTTTTCCCTCTCGTTTTTTCTTAAACCATTGCTCAAAGTTTTCTTCTTCCGTGACCCTTTGTCTGTGCTGCTCCTCTTCAGCCTGCCTTATGTTCATTTCCTTTTCAGGATCCTAATGTTAAGATTTCATTTTTGTGCACCAATAGAACATAGCTCAGATTAGACAGAACTCTTAACGTGGCAATAAGAACTGAGACTGATAAGAATTTCACACATTACCTTTGTTTCTCCCCACGTTTCATCTCCAAAGTCTTCTGCATAGTCCTCATCATCTGTTATCAAGAAATTGTCAAAAATTGTGCCAGCTCTCACCTTAGAGGGAGGAAAAATAATAACAGGATGCCTCTTTATTTTTCTTTACAGTTCTACTCTGTCTTTCAATGTCCTTGTATCGCATTCAGTAGGCAGTGAACACGTTAAGAACTCCACAAGCTTTTACAGAATTTGACGGAGAAACATCTATGTTTGGAAAGCTACTTTCAACATTCAAAACAACGTGTTTTAACTTTCTTTAGTGCTCTTAGGAGTGCCAAGTCTGATTGCTGGCTGGGCAGGAAAGCTGAGGAATTTCTCAGAGCGGCCTCCAGAGGGCAGATTTCGTCCCATTAATCTCAGCGACTCAGGAGTACCTGAGCTGCTGGAAGCCTCAAGTCAGGTCGAGCAAATTACAGTTTGCAACTCTTACACTGACTAGTTTGGACTTCTCCCTCACTTATCTGTAGAGGGTTATGAACCAACACATCTTAGAAACTTTGTCATCTTGTACATACATTTAAATAAAAGCAAGTAAAAAACACAGGTCATCTCCAGAGATCCCAAAAAAGCAGAATCTCAGAATTGTAGGGGCTGGAAGGACCTCCAGAGATCTTCTAGTCCAACCCTCTGCATAGCAGCCTCTGTGGACCAGGTTGTGCAGGTCAACAGATAACACTTATATTAAAGCATAAACAAATTGCCACATGCCACATTTACGAGATATGGTTTAGTGCTTGTGGTACTAATAGGAACGGGAGGGTGGTTGGACTAGATGATCTTGCAGGTCGTTTCCAACCTGGTGATTCTGTGATGCCCAGTGAAAACTAAGTCCTTTGTTCCCCTATAAAAGCAACTCACCTGCCAGATATCCAGTCCGATGGCGCCAATGTTTTCATAGCTGTAGATATTGCAGTCAGGTGAGTAATGCGGATTGTCGATCTGTGGATGGGGCCAAATGCCCCTATAGTCTGGGTTATCAATCTGCCTTGGCTTCCACTCTCCCTAGAACAAACCATGTATTCAGAATGCAGTTGGACAAAGAAGAGTTGAAGTGCCACAGCCAGCTAGAACTACAAGGTTATCTGTACTTTGTATAAAGGATTCTTGACCATAGGATAACTCCACTCTCCATGCACAGCATGATCCCAGTCTTCTGGCTTCTCATCACTAGTATCCATAATGTACTCAGGTTCATCCCAATCCTTTGAAGACATAGAAAGACTAACAAAATCAAAAACATGGGTAGTTCAATCCATAAAATGAATTCAGCAGGAATGAAATAATTCAATAATGCAAAATAACTACAGATTCAAACTGCTGAGTTACCTCAGGTTTGATGTCATTTGGATCATCGATGTGGGCTCGATCATCCCAATCACTGGGTTTCTTCACTGCTGGATCATTAATTTTCCTTGGTGGCAAGAAATCCAAATCGTCCTCTAAGTTGCCCAAAGCAGCCACTTCGTTATCAATTTTTACTTCATAAGTCTGGTCTGGCCTTATGATTAAAGTATACAGATGTGTATATCCATCAACCTGGGTTTTAAAGAAGGCAAATAAGATACTTTAAAAGCCTTAAGTACAGCTTATAGAAACTGCCTTGCATCAGGGTCACAATATATGCCTGCAATAGTGCGTTTTTTTCCTTCTTACATAGCCCTCTGACTGGTGATCCTAGAGTTTGATGGGAACTCGAGGTTTACTTTTGAAACCCGTGTTTACCTTACATCTGATCGGTTTCTTGATTGGATGAAGTTTATTCTTGTAATTTAAAATAACATGGACTTTCTTTGTCTCAGATCCACAAATATCTGGCCCTACAAAGAGATCATATGTTTTGTATCCTTAATTTCATTGCAGAAAAATGCAGGTTACTATCTATGGCATAGATTGAAGGATTATGTAAAAATTATGTAATCACATCAGATACCTAACGACAAACCTTGAGATACAAGCAAAGAATTTCACTAAGTTGCATACAAATACCCTTAAGGGCAGACAACAACCTCTGCTACATTGTTTCAGGTAAAGGCCTAAAATATTTGAACGCCCTTCAAGTCAGCTGAGAATTTAATGCATACTTTCAGAAATTTCAGGTATAGAACAGATAACTGCTTACAGCCACAATATTCCCATTAAAACAACTTTCTCCTGAATGTTTTTGTCATTTCCACAAATATCCTGCAGTAGCTGCACAACAGCAGTGGCAATGCTGTGCCAATGGAGAAGCAGTTACAGACTCACCAAACATGATGTAGTAAGGGGAAGCTCCACTCAGGTTCTTCTGATCCAAGTCCGAGGAAAAAATCTTTACATATCCCCCACCACAATCTATCTTCTGCTCATGTTTCACAGTATACTGAATGACCAGAGTCTTCCCTTTGTTACTAAATGGTTTAAATCGTGAGGAGATCGCATAAAACTTGGAGTTTTCACTTGTTTGTAGACCTATAAAGGTATTAAGATAATATTCAAACTTACATTTCCCTCAATTTTCTTAGAAAAAAGGCCTTTTCCCCTCCCCACACACGGTGGCTCTATGCAGGCTATCCTGAGAGGGCCCCACACTGCCTCCCCGTGCCCCCACATACCACTGTCTCTCACAGGATCCCCGTAGAACTTCCCAGCAGAGAGCTGAAACGTGCCGAGGTCTGGCCTGGACTCAGAGCTCACCCAGCGCTTCTGCCAACCACCTGCTGGGCCGGGACCGAGAGACAGAAGGAGCGTTACAGGGCAGGGCAGGGCAGGGCAGGGCAGGGCAGGGCTCGGCTCCTTCCCGCCCCCTCTCCCCTCAGAGCTCGCTCACCGCCCTTACTGCCAGCCACCTCATCACACCCTCACCCTCCCTCCCTTTCCCACAACCTCCGTCCAGAAACTGCTCCCGGAAATACACCGCAGTCCGGGCAGTCCCCAGCACAGCCCCAAGGAGCCCCAGCCGCAGCACGGCGCCGACTGCGTTGCTCCGCCGCCGCGCTCCGGGCACAGCCGCCATCGCTCTCACACAGCAACGGCTTCGCGCCTCCGGCCGGTCCTCCAAACTTCGCGCCTACGCCCATTCTATACTAGGCTCTGATTGGCTACGCATTCCCTGTCTTTTATAACTAACGTTCCGATTGGCTTAGAGTCCCCAAGGGAGATGCAAATTGCACGTCCCCGCACCGCGCGGTGCATGCTGGGACTTGTAGGCGGCGCTGACCGGCCGGCCGCAGCATGTCTCCTTGGGATTGGTTGATTACACCCAAGGGTAGCTGGGGGGGGCGGGGCTCTGTGTGCAGCCAATGAGCGGACGAGATGTTGGGGGGGGTCGCCGTTTCCAGGATACGGCCCGGAGCCTGGCGGATCTGCGGCTGCAAGAGCGCCGTCCGTCCTGAGATGGCCGTGCGTAGACAGGTGGGTGGAGAGCAGGTGAGGTGCCGTGCCGTGCCCCAGCGCCGGTACTTCGGCCACGTGTGCGGAACGGCAGGAGACCGCGGGCCCGGGCGGCTCTGAAGGTGCGGGCAAGCCGCAGGAGCGCCCTCACTTCGCGTCTTCTCCCGGC